GGCCCTAGAAGGGCCTGAGGAACTCATGTCATTTAAAATACACCTGGAGTAAAAGAAAGCTGAATTAAGTCTACAGTGAGATTCTTAGGGTGGTGCCTAATACTAGGACAGCCCCAATAATGAGGTTGTACTAGTGTCTGAATGAAAAGTAAATGCCTCCAAGTCTAAAGACATTCTCACAATTCTCAGGCAGGACTGCTTGTTGTCATGACCGAGACAAAATATAGACGATTACTTTTTAAGGTCTGTCAGGGCAATCAGGGCAAGGAATCCCCCCAAACCTGTTACATTACTTTTAATAAACACTTGCCATGTGCTATTTCTTCAACATCTAAAATATCTCCTGTAGCTCTATCAATCCCCTGCCTCTATGGGTTTTGTGCCAGAAAACTCAGGGAACTGGTCAGAGTAAATCTTCAGTAGTTTGAAATCTCTTATCAAATTTCAGACTGTAACAGAATCAGTACTTGGCTGGCACATAATCCTTTAGCACTTATGCTGTCAAGCTGTCAAATTACTCTTTCTACATATACAAATATATTTTAGGATTAAAATATTTTAAAATATTAAATATTTCCAGTGTAAGTGCAGGGATCTTTTAAGTTCACTTGTGATCTATTTTTTTAACTGGCCAAAATATTAGAAATTAGAGAAGCCCTATTTTGGGGGTTACAAAGAACTTGCTAATGTCAAGTAAGTCTATCAATGTTTCTATTTGATGGAATAAAGCTGTTCAGGCAGTGTTGGATGTCTGGTCAGTACTTACAGTTCTTGACGGTATTACTGATGGATTCCACCAGTTTTTTCAGAGTCTTCTGGTCCATGCCAAGTGTGGCACAATTCTCAGATATCCTAGTTCCAAGCCTGTGTGTCCTGGGTTGCCACTGATTCCAGAGTTCACTACTCTATGCCCAACAGAATGTGACCATGGCAACATTCCAGCAACCACACAGAAGGTTCTCAAGTGATTGAAAAAATATGCAGCCATGGTTGTTACTACTCAATACAAATGCAGTGGTTTCATTAATGCTATTGTGATCTGAAATATTACAGCAATCCCAACATTCATGTTTTCTTTAGGGCTCAACACCACTTAAAGTGGTACTTGATATTACTGTCATTTATTTTTCCTCAGCACAAACTGTATAGTTGAAAATGTTTCCTTCCTATCTGAACACATAATTGAGAAATAAGATTATAAAGACCTTATCTTTACACTGAAATAAAGTATTTTCCCAGGCTACAAATAGCTCCTTCAAATATTATAACCTCCTTTAAAAACCCTAACTAAGGGGCGCCCGGGTTGGTTGGGCATCTGGCTCTTGGTTTCGGCTCAGGTCATGATCTCGGGGTTGTGGGATCAAGCCCTGCAATGGGCTCTGCACTCAGTGGGGAGTCTGCTTGAGATTCTTTCCCTATGCCACTCCCCCTGCTTGTGCGCACTCTCTCTAAAATGAATAAAGAAACCTTAAAAAAAATTAGAAAATAACTCTAACTAAGCACCCTCTCATGATCTCCAAAGAGAGACTTTAATCTGGGAGCTCCTAGAGAAATGTAAAACCCCATTTATACCCCTCCAACTCCTATCTGACTAACTGTAAGAAAGCATGCTGTGACCATGCCAAAGCTGGCCAAAACGACAACTGTGCTAACTCTCGTCTACTGTCAAATCCCAATACAGAGAACAAACATCTCCTAGTCTGTTTGCTGGCTTTCACTATGGCAAGGCATGAAAATGCACTAAAATGATTTTTAGAATTTAGGACACTACATCCTTATAAATTTTAAATAAAACATAAAAATGAATTTTAAAATAAGACAAACACATCTGAACAAAAAATCTTTCCCAGAACTTGTCTTTAGGAAATACCAGATGAGTGTTCATTGATATTAAGTTGAAAACTGGCAATGTTTTAAAAATGTGAAACCTGTCACTTAAGTCTGAAGAGTAACTGTTCTCGATTTCTCCGAGGTTAGTCTACTGTTCTTCATGAAATGAAAGATTATCAGGCAACAGGCTTTTAACACACCCCGACTGAAGGAATATGAACCTATATTCTGGATAAAGTAAATTCAGGACACTCTTATGGTATTTAAAATACCTAAATATACTAAGGGCAACCAAGTGAATCCAAAAAGTACTGGTATAAATTCAATTTTTTGATTCAGACACTCATCAACTTTGTTGCAGTTACCTTGGCATTATTATCCAAATAACATGCCTTGTGTTTATAAAATTGGTGTAAAATTATTCAAGAAAAAGCATGGTCTGCTGGAGGGAGGAAGTTAAGAGATGTTAGTAATTTGCACATAACATTACCTGGTCAAATTTTCTTCCCATACCTTATTAGAAAGAAGACTGTTAAGGCTACCAGCAGAGGAAGAAAGGGGAACCCTCCTACACTGTTGGTGAGAATGCAAGCTGGTGCAGCCACTCTGGAAAACAGTATGGAGAGTCCTCAAAAAGTTGACAACTCAGCAATTGTGCTACTAGGCATTTACCCCAAATATACAAATGTAGTGATCCGAAGGGGCACCTGGCAACCCAATGTTTACAGCAGCAAAGTCCACAATAACCAAACCATGGAAAGAGCCCAGATGTCCATCGACAGATTAATGGATAAAGATGTGGTATGTGGGGCGCCTGGATGGCTCAGTTGGTTAAGCGACTGCCTTCGGCTCAGGTCATGATCCTGGAGTCCCGGGATCGAGTCCCACATCAGGCTCCCTGCTCGGCGGGGAGTCTGCTTCTCCCTCTAACCCTACCTCTTGTGCTCTCTCTCTCAAATAAATAAATAAAATCTTAAAAAAAAAAAAAGATGTGGTATGTGTACAAACACACACACACACACACACGAATATTACTCAGTCATCAAAAAATAAAATCTTGCCATTTCCAACAATGTGGATGGTCCTAGAGGGTATTATGCCAAGTGAAATAAGTCAATCAGAGAAAGACAATTATCATATGATCTCACTCATATGTGGAATTTAAGAAACAAAACAGAGAAGCATAGGGGAAGTGAGGGAAAAATAAATAAAACAAGAGGAAATCAGAGAGGGAGACAAACCATAAGAGATTCTTAATTACAGAAAACAAACTGAAGGTTGCTGGAGGGGAGGGGGATAGGGGGTGGAGGTGTAGGGTGACAGGGTGATGGACATTAAGGACGGCATGTGATGTAATGAACACAGGGTTTTATACACAACTGATGAATCACTGAACTCTACCTCTGAAACTAATATTATATGTTAATTATGTGAATTAAAAAAAAAGGCCACCAGCAGAGGAACAACAAGAAAAGTGTTTCCCAGACAGTCAACATAGTTTGGAAAGAATACAACTTTTTTTTGCCAGGTCATCTTCTTCAGTCTAGAAACAGTTGCTTCTAGTGGGACATAGTCATCATGTACTGGACCAGTCTACAGAGGAACACTTTTATGTTCATACCAAAAATGATCACCAAATAACCTGATAAATTTATCTTTTAGCATTTTTGTGAACAATCCTAAGAAAATTCCTTTCAGATAAAAAATGTCCCTCAAACTTGCTGTGTACTCAAGATCATATAGATTTATTAGGAAAGAGTATGAAGCTTTTAAGCACAAAATTTAAGGAAGCTTACCAAGAAATATATTATTTTTACAGCTAAAAATTTGGGGACATGTCTTATCCACTTAGTACCCAGTAGTGTTTCTTGATCTTTGGAACTTTACTTGGGACTCAAAGGGAGCTGATAAGAACACAGCTATTTTTAAGTAAAATAGCTATTTATTCAGCCTCTTGTCATGCCAAAATGTTCTGTGCATATACTACTATAATTAGCACACCCTCTGTAACAGGCAAAATTGTACATCAAATTATATGTTACCTGATTATATAAAAATGTAAAGTGAAAATGATTTATCAATTCCTTTTAACATTACTAGTAAACAATTCAGCAGTAGATATGAGGCACAAAATCTTAGTAAAATATGACACAGGAAGAGCAATAATGTAATTTTCACTTAACTTGTCATAATTTGTTATGAATATACAAAGACAAATTTCTAAAATGTTATATTTACTAAGATTCTGGCAATAGCTTTATGTAACAAGACACAGCATACCAGGCCTGCCACTCAACTTGTTTATGGTAAGTCTCAGCTTCAATATGAAGCTGTTAAAAAAAAAAAAAAAAAAAATCAAAAGCCCGCTTTGTTTACATGCTAAGTATCTTGGCAAGTATGCCATTAAACACAGTAAGGAATTTAAGATAGCAAGAATAAGGAGTTAATAAAAGCTAAACACTGCAGCCTAAACAAAATTCATACAAAAATAAAATAAGTATTACTGGTTACATAAAACTTTCCTGACTGGTTAAAACTTAACAGTATAAAACATGCATTTTAAATCTTCAGCTATCAAGTTCAAAAAGTACCAGTGTCTATTTGAAATGATTCTTCTCCAAAGCCAAAGTGTAGTCAAAATTAATTCAAATGTTATAACACATTCTAATGCTAAAAAACATTCAGTATTATTGAAGTGGAGGTAAATCCCAGAGCTTCTGGGGCTCTGTCATGCTGCAAAGGGCTGTTTCTCTGGTTCACTTAGAGCAGCAAACGACAGAGTCCAAGGATGTCTAGGGGCAAGACTGCTATACTCAGCTCTGACCTCCCTGTGAAGCATGGCTACTATGTCCACAAAAGTAGGATGTGTGAGGATAAAAGGCACGCTATTCTGCTAGCTAAAGAGATAGCAAACCAGCCCCCCCACCCAAAAAGCTCCTTCCCCAGGTAAATAAAAGTATATAAGGGGAAAAATTTAAAATATACTTATCTACAGAGTAAGGATTTTGAAGTATCAGTGTGGTGCCTATTTCAAAAATGTTAACTAGAATCATCTGGTCATTGCTAATTACATCTTAATGATGTATCCAGATTTGATTTCTGTTGATTTATCATTAGATACTTCTAGTCAAAAATATTAACTTTATCCCCAAATATCTTAACCACTAGCACAACTGCAATGTATTATCTCCCAGAGTTATTAAGCACTGGAAGAGAAAAAAACAGATGTTCAAGCAGCAGGCAAAAATTATGGCCCTTTCACACAGCAGCATCCGAGTGGCTACTGAACAGTCCAGGAATAATTCTAAAAGCAAGAAAATTCATGCACTTTAGTAATTATGTCATAATTTTCACAGTTGAAATTTCCTTAGACATTGCACTTTCTTTATAAGGGAATCCTGATTTTTCTTAATGTTACGGCGAGTCAGGACTTGAACTAGCAGCCTTCTTTTTCTTCTTCTTACTGTGTTTCTTATGCTTCTTTTTCTTTTTTGTTTTTTCCTGTAAAGAGAGTTCCCTGTTAGACATTTCTACAGGAAAATACTCAAATTAAAAACAACAACTTTACCATGGTTCTTCTAAGCTACTATATAATTATTTCAAACGATCCAGGCAACCAAGGAAACTACTCAGAACATTTCTTGAGAAGTCTCAATAATCAGTATCATATGAGGACTTAAGAGTGCTTGTTGATTTTCAAAAAGATATGGAAAAACTCTAAGTCATTAGCACACAAATGTAGCTTTTAAACAAAATTCACAGAAAATAAATTCTATGGATAATGATATCAACTGCTGTATTTCATACTGTATAATTTCTAAAGGTGAAGTAATTGTAGTTACTACAAAGAAATCCTCACATCACAGCAAAACACAATTGCTTTTATAAAATGACAGTTTTGGGGAACAGATATATTAAATCTGATATTTTTTAAGTAAACAGAAACACAAATTATTATGTCCTGTCTAAACTGGTAGCACTATTTTAATTATTAAATTAACAACTAAAAAACAACTGGTAAAAAAAAATATTGATGTACAGTTGAAAAGTCTACTTAGCTTTTAAGTGAAACAGATGCTTTTTCTTTTTTAAAAAAACTTTTATATAAGCTCTACGCCCAACATGGGGCTTGGACTCACAACCCCAAGATCAAGAGTCGCATGCTATACCGACTGAGCCAGCCAGGCACCCAGATGCTTAATTTTTAGAAGCCTAGAAAAAGTAATCAAATTGTGACTGGATAGAGACCTATAATTTTGCTGAACTCTGACTCTTGTGACTATTTCTGATGTAGAAGAGAAGGCAAAACTTTTAGAAACAGATACTTAGGAAGGTGGTATCAAATGACAGACTAGTTGTTGATATTCAGCAAGAAAAGAGACATGAAAAGACAGCAAAAGCAGAGTTCCCTATACATTTCCTTATCAATTACAACTTTCCACAATTCCCCTGCCCCTCAAATGTCTCTACCACTTAGTGGCTCTAAGCTAACTTTCATAATTCTTTTCATGACAAGCTCAAGTACACATGGAATCTTACAAAGAGTCCCAAATCTTGTATTTGGGCCTTTAAAAAGTTAAGTTTTGGGTATAGGTTACTTTTTCATAAAAGGACAGCTGACTACTCTCTTTTTAAAATACTTTTCTTCTTGGCTTCCACGACACCTCCGTCTGCTGCTTTCTTCCATCACAAAGACCCCTTCAACTCCTGTGCTGTTCATTTTCCTCTGCTTGACCTTTCAGGGTTTCCTTCCTTTCTCTTCCACATGGCTCTCTATCTCCCATGCTTTAAATACCATTTTCATACCAACTCTTCAAAGCTAGTCCTATGTTCTGAACTCAAGACTATGAGTTCCACCTGGATACCTAATAGGTATATCTAAAATTACCATAAACAATGCTTAATTTTTCTCTCTAACTCCTCTTAGCCATCTTAGTTAAATGGCACCTCTAATTCGTCCTTTTACTTAAGGCAAATCTATGTTTGACACCACTTTCTGTTTTAACTCCTCTCTCTACATCTAGGTAAGCAAGCCCGACCATCTAAGTCCACAATATATCTCAAATCCGTCAGGCTAGTCCAGCTCCATTACTACCACTGTGATACAAACAACTCGCCTCTGTCCACTCCACCTCCTCTGCCAAAGCATTCTAAAAATGTAAAGTTGGGGGCGCCTGGGTGGCTCAGTTGGTTAAGCGACTGCCTTCGGCTCAGGTCATGATCCCGGGGTCCTGGGATCGAGTCCCACGTCGGGCTCCCGGCTCAGCGGGGAGCCTGCTTCTCCCTCTGACCCTCCCCCATCTCATGCTCTCTCTCTCTCTCATTCTCTCTCTCAAATAAATAAATAAATAAAATCTTAAAAAAAAAAAAAATGTAAAGTTGGTTCAGGTCACTTCTTTTTTAAAACACTCAAAACAGCTTCCCAAAGCATTTTGATTAAAACCCAAACTCTTTGCTTGTGATATGGCCTCTGCTTACTTCCCCAACTCACTGTATGTTATTCCTCTTTATCTACTAGGTATAAGCCACGCTTACTCTTTCAGTTCCTCAAACAAATCAAGCTCATTCCTACCAAAGGTCCTTAGCTCTTCTCTCTGCCTAGGATATTTTCCTTTGATCTTCACATGGTTAGCTCTTTCTGGTAAATCCTATTTCAGCTTAATTTTACTTCCTCAGAGAGGCTTTCCCTCCCCAAAGCCGCTCTCACATGTCACCCTCTTACCTATCTTGTATTCCATTAGAACAGCACTACCAACACCAACGGTGCCTGCATAGAGATGCTTAATAATCACATGCTAGCTGAATGCACGAAACAGTGCGGTATGCAAGTACAAATTAGAATTATCCAAAATTAATTAATATTATGTCTTAATTAATCTGAACCAAGGACCAAAGCAGTCTTCACCCAAATTACTTTCCCATTCAGAAAAAAAGTCTCTCAAATGTCACCTTGGTCTTGAAGTACATAAAATGCTACTTCTGAGTCATACACTACCAGGTGAACCTTTCTATCAGAGAAGGACCCTTATCTTAAGAGCGAGGGAAATTCTGGGAAGGGGAAGTTACCTTCAAACCTACAAAAGACGCTGTTCTCATTTTTCTTTTACCTGTTCCTAAGAAAATGCCTTCAAAGGCCATCATCCACGCTTATACTGAGTGCTCCTAAATGATTTTAATGATATGGTCTGCAATTACTCTTTGATAATCTATTATCCACTTTCCCTAGGTTGGTCTGCTTCTCATTTGGATATCACTGCCATTTTCTTTATTCTCTTCTTCCTTCTTTCTCCTGTTATTCTTCTCCATCTGCATAATAGCAGAGCTGGCTTTAGAAATGGCCAAAAGAATCATCTTTATTATTGAATCATTTATGTTGTCACATTCCTGCTTATTTTTCATTGCAACCTGTGCTGAGAGGCTTTTTCTGCTAATGTTACCAGGTTTGGTCAACGTGGAAGTCACTACTATTAAGGATGGAAGGAATCACTATACCTAATATTTCATATTATAGCTTAAAAAAGTCAAACAAAAGTTCAAGTTTTCATTTCTATCAGTACTGAGTACGGAATAAAATAAAATGAAATACTGAATAAAATACTGAAATGAAAACAGGAGATGTTTGCTACCAGGATATTTTTCTTTTCTCTGGAGCCAATTTAACTTGCTCCAACCCACTAAGTAAAGCTAACCACCACACTTTTCCCAATAAATATTTATCTGAACCCAGTAAATGAAGTCATGCTTTACCATGATTCATTATATAGTAAACAAAAAGAGCTACACTATTGTCATGTAAAAAATATAAGTGATACTTGCTATTACTTTTTCTCGTTCTTCACTGCTTTTCTTCTTTTTTGCTCGTACCTAAAAAGTTTGAATTTTCATTGAGAAGACAAATATGTAACTTGTACTCAAGACATTTTTTAATTCCCTAATGTACCTTACATCTTTAGAATTTATGTGTAAAAAACATTTTGATGATATCTCAAACCCCTGTTATATCATAATGACAAGTCAATGAGAAACATTTAAAGGAAAAAAAATTAAGACTTTTTAATCTCTAGAGGGCTTCCTTATATTCCCTTTCAGCACCGCCCGCCCCCCGACCAAAAAGCAGTGAGATACAGTGGATAAAAAGCATGAGCTCTGAAATAAAACAGACCAAACTCTGAATCCTACCTCAGCTATGTACTACCCTCAGTTTCATCATCTGTAAAATCGAGATAATATCCACCCTCTAGGGGAAGTGCCTGGAATAAAGTTAAGTATTTCTCTTACTCTATGGTGTTCAATAAATGGTAGCTATATGCATAGTGTATTCAGTATAAACCAACTGATTAAAATCCTTTTAAGTAACGCTTAATACCCCATTAGTATTTTCATCTTTTAATGTGTGAATTTAAGACAAGTTGCTAAAGTTCATGTATACTTATTGTTAAGTCCAAGTGTAACATATATTAAGTGCTCTAGAGGACACATAGGAAATTACTGTTTCTTACTGCTAGTCTTGTCATAACAATGACTGGGGATGGTGGTAGTTGCGCTGCATCCACATTTGGCGAGACCAAGACTGGGGATGCTGTCATGTGATGTCCAAGACTGCCAGACAGCCCTGACATGACTTTTAGACAGCCTGCCAGTCATTCGTATAATAAACCCACTTATAGAAAAGACTGTATTTTGTTTCATTCATTCAGAGCTTTACTGCGAATTGTTCATCATTTTGGAAAATGTCATTGATGACAAGGCCACTGTACAGTTTTTGAAGGGCATACATAATGCACCTGCTACAGCTTGAATTTTGTTATGTCTTAAGATTTTATGTCTTCTAGTTATCACACTCAAGCATTTATGTACTCAAATATTATTTAGTAAAATTATACATTAATAGTTTCTTATATTTCTTTAAAAAATTTCTTAGGGGATATTAATCTAAAATGTGTAGATTATATACATTATATACACACACTACAAGTTTCAATTCAATTCACTTCAATTTCATTTCAGGGGGCATTACAAAATATTGCTACAAAAGGCCCTATTTTACAAATGAGGAAGCCAAGTCCAAGAGAGAAATACTTTCAAGATGATAACTTAAAGACCTAAAATTAACTAAGAATAGAGTACAAACAAAATCTAAGATAGGAATATCAGGGCTGAAAAGGACTAAAGAGACTACAGAAACTATCTAATTCTACTTCCTTACGTTACAGATAGGAAAAAAGATCATGCTAACATTTCTGTTCTACCTCATCACTGTTCTACTCCCTCACTAGTAGTAGTTCCAAACAAAAACAAGGGAATGCTGGGTTTCAATACAGTACACATCAAACAGCATCTGTCATGTAATCATAATACTAGAATAGTAAAAAGTAACTATTAGAAGAATAAAAATAAAATAGCTCAGAGCAGAGATTTGTAAGTATGGTTAATTACCATATTAGCTCTATAATCATCTTCTAGAAAATGAAAAACTCATTCTGAAATGGAACTTCCATTTCTTTTTCACAGTGCACATGCTAGAAAGTGAGTAAATTGAATATTCATAAAGTATATTTCTTTTTACTAATTTGTATTTATTAAAAACAAATTATTAAACATTTTAAAGTGAAGAAAATGAATTTGATCATAGACTTACCTCCTCAATATAATCTGATTCTGATAAAGACTCAGATGATAAAGGTTTATCTTCAGGATACATCTTTCTTTTTTTGCTGAGTCCTTTAATGTCCTAAGAGAAATACATGTACCTTGACTCAAAAAGATATAAGGCTATGCCACACAAATTTTATGTTTCTAATTAACAGTTTTTCCAATTATCAAAAAAACTAACCATTTTCATTTTAGAAATGTCTAATATTGATGTTTACCAATATTCAGTTTTTAATTCCAATAAAGTAATGCTTTTATTAAATAACCTGAAAAGAAATAATTACATGTCCATTGAGATGCTATATTCTCACTTTCTTTTTTTTTAAAAAAATATTTATTAAGTAATGTGTACACCCAACATGGGGCTTGAACTAACGACCACGAGGTTAAGAATAGCATGCTATTCTGACTGAGCCAGCCAAAGTTAATTAAACTCTAAAGTGTCATAAGAAACCCTAGAGATGGTGTAAGATTCGAGTCCCTTGTATTCTAATGGTTTTGTTTCTACCCAGTATTGGATCAGACAGGCCTAGTGCTGCAGAAAAGAAAAACAATGGGTAATTATTTGTGATCTAAAAAGATCTCTACACAGTAGTAATTCCTTTCATGTGTTACAAGTGTTAAATTCACATTAAAAAAACCTTCATCTCTAAGTATTTTTAATGATGAGAAAACATATAACTCTGGGGAAGAAGAAAGACCAGAGGAGTACTTAGGGACTTAAATATATGTTCTGAGGAATAAAAATTTCAAAAACATCTGAAGCAAGTATGGCAAAATGTTAAGGTTTTTAAAAAAGATTTATTTATTTACTTGAGAGAGAGAGAGAAAACACAAGAACAAGTGGGGGGGGAGGGGCAGAAGGAGAGAGAAAGGGGGCAGCAGACTCCCCACTGAGCGTGGAGCCCAAGGTGGGGCTTGATCCCAGAAACCTGAGATCATGACCTGAGCCGAAATAAAACCCAAGAGTCAGACGCTCAACCGACTGAGCCACCCAGGCGCCCCAATGTTAAGATTTATTAAAGCTTCACAATAGATGTGCTGGTTATCATCTTATGATTTTCCATATGCTTTTTCTGTATGTCTGAATACTTCATAACAAGACAACAAAACCACACAATGAAAAAAAATGCTCACTACCTCATTGCACAGAAAAAAACAATATAAAACTTTATATACGGGAAGCCAATTTTGAAGATTATTAAACAAACAAAAAATCACATAGAAAATAAAGTGATCTGTGTTATATTACGGTGATTTAATTTTGTTTCTGCAAATAGCTTTATTATTTTGATAGAAATGATAAATGTTCACTGTAAGCGAATTTACCCGAATCCCACTACCACGAATTAAACATCATGAAGATTTTTGGAAATATCTCACTATGTGTACATTTACAATTTTACATAAATACTTGCTGTTTGGAACCCGCTCTTGTCATCCAATCTTTCCATGCCAACTACATCATCATTTATGGTTGCCTTTGACATTCACTGAAAGCATATGCCACAACTCACTTAACCCAACTCTTTCTGGAGGGCAGGAATATATATGGGTTATTTGCTATTAAAAACAGTTGAGGGGCGCCTGGGTGGCTCAGCAGGTTGAGTGTCTGCCTTCGGCTTGGGTCATAATCCCAGGGTCCTGGGATCGAGTCCCGCATTGGGCTCCTTGCTCAGCAGAGAGTGTGCTTCTCCCTCTCTTTGCCCCTCCCCCTGCTTGTGTGCTCTCTCTCTCTGAAATAAATAATAAAATTAAAACAAACAAAAAAACTTGAAATGGAGTGACAGGCACATGAGTGCAAAATCTTTACCTAATAATAACGTCTAAATCAAAGACCAAAGTAGCCTTTATCCAAATGATTTGCTTACTCTCCCACCTCCCCCCCCAATTGTTTATTTCACTTAGGAATCACACTTTATCAAGAAACCTCTGTTTCAGGCTCTTTTATCAATTATCTCAGTCTCAGATTACTGAAATACAGTCCATATTTTCTTTTAGAACTGCCTAAACATGCATTTTACCACTTTTTCTGTACGTGAAGTAGAAATTTTCAATTACTAAAGATTAGTTTTTAATTATTTCTAGTTTTTCCTAAATCTGTTCATTATATTTAAATTTTGTTCATGATTTTTTTGTGATCTCGTTTCATCATTCAGAATTAGAATTATATGGTCAAAAGTTTCTGGGGCGCCTGGGTGCCTCAGTTGTTAAGCGTCTGCCTTCAGCTCAGGTCATGATCCAAGGGTCCTGGGATTGAGGCCCGCATCGGGCTCCCTGCTCAGCAGAAAGCCTGCTTCTCCCTCTCCCACTCCCCCTGCTTGTGTTCCCTCTCTCGCTGTCTCTCTCTGTCAAATAAATAAATAAAATCTTAAAAAAGTTTTTGAGTTTTGAGGCATGGGCCTTCCCTACCCCAAATTATATTCACCCCTGTCTTTCTCTAGTTATACTTTCATACATTTAAAACTGACTTACCTATGATTTATTTGGCCTTAAGGAGGGTTCAGCTTTATACTTCCCAAATGGCTAGTCATTTTGTCCCAAGAAAAGCCACTTTTATCATCTATAAAACCCCACAAATACTTACAAATTTTTACTTGGGCTCTACACTGTTCCACTGCCTTTTTTTTTTTTCCTCCCTATTCCTGCACCATACCACACTATTTTAATCAAAGCGTTTAAAGAATGTTTTAATCAAAGAGTTTAAAAAATGTTTAATGTCTACCCAGAAACATTTATTAAATCTTCATATGCTTCTCTGAATAGATTTGCATAATTTTCTTCAGAGAAGTCCTGATCGGTTCTTTAAATTTTTCCTATATATTCTTTGTTACTGTTAGAAATGGGATATTTTCGTCCATTGTTAGGTATTACACTGTCATTTTCACAACTTAAAAATGAGCTGAAAACGATGACTGATACATGACTTACAATTACACCCTTTTAAAAAAAGATTTATTTTAGAGAGAGAGAGAAAGCACACGAGCATGGGTAGGAGGAGGGGCAGTGGGAGAGGGAGAGAGAGAGAAAATCCTCAAGTGGACTCCCTGCTGAGCGCAGAGTGCAGAGCCCAGTGCTGGCTCGATCCAGGATCCTGAGATCATGACCTGAACCAGAGCCAAGAGTCAGACGCTTAACTGACTGAGCCATCCAGGTGCCCCTTAAAATTACATCCTTTTTGTAACACTCTACGTTAACTATACTGGAATTAAAGCAAAAAACTTAAAAAAACAAAACAGAGAATACTGCCCAGGGAGAAGAAAAATTATACCCTTTTACGACTGTAACAGACATCCTAAACAAGATTAAGAGAAGCCATGGACCAAAAAATGTTCATCATGTGTATAAAAGATGAGTAGTATTTAAAATATGAAACTCCTGGGGCGCCTGGGTGTCGCAGTTGGTTAAGTGTCCCGCTCTTGGTTTTGGCTCAGGTCGTAATCTCAGGATCATGAGATCGAGCCCGGCGCTGGGCTCCATGCTCAGCATGGAGTCTGCTTAAGATTCTCTCCCTTTCCCTCTCCCAAGTCTAATATGTCCAAGAGTCCCATGCTACAATGACTGAGCCCGCCAGGTGCCCCTAAAGTTCCTATTTTTGATTCACAAAAACAAAACAAAACAAATGATATATCCAGAATACGTAAATCCATAGAGATAGAAAGCAGAGTAGAAGTTACTAGGGGGTGTGGGGGGCAGGAAGAATGGGAATTAGTTAATGAGTATGGGTTGTTTTTAAGGGGGTGATGAAAAAGTTTTGAAACTAGAGAGGTGGTCACTGTACAACACTGTACATACACAATATTCCCCCAAATTGTAATTTTAAAATGATTAATAGCATATTATGTAAATTGTACCTCAATTAAAAAAATATGTAAAAATACTGAGTAAAATATAGTGACTCTGGTCTATAGTTTTCTTTCATTAATGACTGCTGTCTTTAGGTTTTTAAGAACCAGAAAAAGATTTTTTTTCCCCAAGATTTTATTTATTTTATTTGAGAGAGAGAGAGAGAGAGAGAGAGAGAGAAGGGGGAGCAGCAGAGGGAGAGGAGATTGAGCCCTGCTGATCACAGAGTCCGATGCAAGGCTCAATCCCAGGACCCTGGGATCATGACCCAGCTGAACAAAGGCAGATGCTTAATCAACTGAGCCACCCAGGTGCCCCCAGAAACAGATTTTTATTTTAAAGATTTTATTTATTTATTTGAGAGAGAATGAGAGAGAGAGCATGAGGGGGGGAGGGTCAGAGGGACAAGTAGACTCCTTGCTGAGCAGGGAGCCCAATACGGGACTCGATCCCGGGACTCCAGGATCATGACCTGAGCCGAAGGCAGTCGCTTAACCAACTGAGCCACCCAGGCGCCCCAGAAACAGATTTTTAAATGTAAATCAGAAACACAGGGATAAATTTAGCATTAATTATAGTTAAGCATAAATGAAGATAAAACATCTACTTACAGTAAAAAATTTTTTCAAAACTTATCTATGGTACACTCAATTTGAAACAGAACTCCATGTTCTGTTATTAAAAGGGCTTCTTTCAAAATGACTTGAAGAAACAAAGGAAATATTTAATCTCCATTATTTTGAATTTTTAATGAGATAATATATTAATCTGTATAAATTCAAACTCGGTAGGAATACTTTTCTGATCTTCTAACCTTTGATAATGAATTCAATAAATAATTTCCTTAAATCAACACAAAATGCTATAAAAGCAAAAGAAATAAATCTCAAGTTAAAAGGAGGAATACATTATTGTTAATTTCTAGAAGTAAATGAAGAATTGTATGACAGACTAAAGTAAAATTATAATTACCTTTTCTTTCTCAGTTGCATCCTTTGACTTCTTTTTCTTTTTTAAACTATCCTAAGCAAACAAACATATATATACATATCAATTTTAAATGTAAAAGATAGAGCATAAGGACAACAGCAAAAAGGTGATTTGCTCTATGACTGAAAAAAGTTTATTTCAATACCAGAATTTTATTCTGAAAATAAGAGAAATGTATGTCACATATATATGTGCTTGTAAGGAAATGAAGCTTCTTCATCTGGCTGTATATCAAATTCTATGTATACTGAAAATGATAGACATTGTCTGTAATAACCACATGGTTTCTTTTAAAATAAGACTTAATGCCATTTGCTTATTTTTGCCTGTAGTGGTCATACGCACTGGGGTTCTCATTCACACTGTCCTCAGACATCCCCCAATCTGATTTTCCTCTTTACATATAAGGAGGATAGGTGAGAATTTCTGTTTTTGATTCTTTCAGTTCTAGCCAATAACCTCCCTGAGCCTTCCCCATCCATAAAGTGGATGAGGATTATTGAGAGCATTGAGCTAAAAAAATGTCAAGTGCTTGGAACTGTGCCTAACATATAGTAGCCACTTGACGAAGACTGGCTATCAGGATCATTAGATTGACTCTTCTATCTTAAAAGACAAAGAGAAAACCAACGTTTACTAAATACTTTCTAGACGCCAGGCATTTTGTCAGAAGAAATCACACTAGGACAAGTAGAGACCTGCCCCAAAACCAGTTGTTTTGTTCTCCTGGGCTTCTAGGATAGTGTTTGTGAAATTGTGGTCCAAGGACACACCTGTATCAGAATCACAGAGGATATCTATTAAAAATGTAGACTTCTGAGCCTAAGCAGACTTACTAAATCAGACTCTCTCAACATGAAGCCCAGGAATCTACACTTTTATTGCAACCTGCATGTATTTCTTATTACCACAATTGTTTGAGAGCCAATTATGTTTCACAATTCTAGACATACAGAGCAGATTTAGGTATAATGGAAAGGACACTGGACCAGATAGTGGAGTAGGTTTTCTCCTCTGAACTCTCACTTCTATATGGAAATGGGAAAAATAATGTCTGCCATATTTATTATAAAGCCGTCATGGAAATGCTGAGACATGGAGGCATATGAGGAAGTATTTAGAGAACAATAAAATGGCATATATAAGATATTATTAAGTGTATCAATTGAGTGGCACAGCCCATCAAAGTACAGAAAATAGCATCTCATTTCTAAACTGACAACAATTTAAGACAGGATGACCTAAAAGAAAAAAATGTGTCTGCTATCCAAAATGTTACTAATTTGAGTAATTTTACCTTACTGTCTGATTCAGTTTCTGACATGGAGCTTTCAGAAGATTTATGTGAACGGTTCTTCTTTTTCTTTTTCCTTTTTCCTTGTTTTTTATCCTATATAAAACATTTTTAGAAACATTTGCTTTCTGTTTCAAAAATATAATTGATGTATTTTTTAATACAAAACCTTTATCAATGAACAAAGCTTAAATGAAAGAACCAGCTTGTAAATGCAGGTTTTACTTAATAATTTTTTTTTTAAGTAAACTCTATGCCAAATGTGGGACTCGAGCTCACAACCCCGAGATCAATAGTCACGTACTCTACTGACTGAGCCAGCCCGGTGCCCCCTTAATAATTAAAAATATAACTTATATTAACCTTCTTGCTCTATAAAAAAAAGTCGAGTAATTCGAGTCACATGTAACCTCTAGCATCTAGTCAAATAGCATTTTAGATTTTTAAGCTCCATTTCTTCTACTGGTATTTTGAAGAGAAGAAGACAAATTTAGGAACCTAAAAAATATATATATGTATTAGATAAAAATATTTAAATATCTAGTTATTTATTCATGTCAATGCTCTCAGTTTATGGATAATTAACCAAAACCTGGAAGTCAAAGTTTCTAACAGATATTTCATAATGGATTTCCTCTTGTCATTAAATAAACTAGAGACTATTATTTCACAAACTGTTACAGGCAAACCTTACCTCATCTTCAGAATCCGAAGAACTGCTGGAAGAATCAGAGCTTGATGAAGAAGAAGATGAATACTTGACCAAGCACAAAACAATTAAAGCTTGTGAGATGCAGGAATTTTTTTCTTATCACTAAGTCTCTCAAAAACTTAACAAAATCAATCTGGTGTCTGACAGATATCATATTCAGAAGACTTAAATATTAAAATGTCAAATGTCACACTCCCCACACTCCCTCACACACACACAAAAGGCTCAACAAAGTAACAACAGATATGCCAATGGTAGTCAATTTTCCCCTCTTTCTCTCCCTGACAGCAATAGAGGAGTTACTAGGTTATAAGGAGGTTGGTGCTTTTCTTTATATTGCTAATATAACAAAACCCACCCATAACTACCAAAGGACTTCAAGGCTCCTTGACTCATTTACAGTTAGCATACAGGTCATATAAATTATTCTTACTTTTCTTGTAGGCTCTTAACTGTAACATTTAGAAAAATGGAAAACTTTTGCTCACCCTACCAGATTTCTTCTTTTCTTTTTTCTTTCTCTAAAAGCAAACAAAGTACAAATCTAAATAAGTTGATGTGAGTTTTTAAAATTATCTATTGATAGTAGTACACAGATTATGAAAACCCAAATGTGACATTAAAAACAGCATTAAGCTCTAAATAGTATTACCTGTCTTTTTTTGGATGAGCTCTCACTTCCACTTAATAATTTCTCCCTGTGTTTTTCTAGTTCTTTCTTCCAGTTCTGCAAAAAGGTTATAAACACCATCAGAGGCTATCTATCCCCTTCTAATACACCTGATATAGACAGCCACTACTTCCTTCCCTCTGTCTTCTACTACCTCTCACCATCTCGGCCTCTAAGTACAGGGAAAAGGTACTCCAGGTGCCAGAACCCGGTCACCAAAGGATCCTTTACTAGCTCCTTTCTTTATTTCCTTCTTTTGAGAGCATGAATGGGGGTGGGGCGTACGGTGGGGAGGAGAGTGAGAGAGAGAATCTTAAGCAGACTCTGCACAGAGCCTGACGTGGGGCTTGATCTCACAACCCTGAGATTGTGACCTGAACTAAAATCAAGAGTCAGCCGCTTAACCCACTGAGCCACCCAGGCGCCACACTAGTTCTTTTCCTTTCTTTTTTTAAAAAAGATTTTATTTATTTACTTGAGAGAGAGTGCTTGTGCATGCGAGCAGGCAGAAGGACAGAGGGGGAGGGAGATGGACAAGCAGACTTCCAGCTGAGCCTGGCGCCGGACATGGGGCTCGATCCCACAACCCTGAGATCACAACCTCAGCTGAAATCAAGAGTTGGCCGCTTAACCAACTGAACCACCCAGGCGCCTGGCCCCAATAGCTCTTTTCAAAGAGGGTATTTTTTTTTTCTTTTAAGATTTTATTTATTTATTTGACAGAGAGAGACACAGCGAGAGAGGGAGCACAAGCAGGGGGAGTGGGTGAGAGAGAAGCAGGCTTCCCGCCGAGCAGGGAGCCCAATGCGGGGCTCGATCCCAGGACCCTGGGATCATGACCTGAGCCGAAGTCAGACGCTTAAGGCCTGAGCCACCCAGGTGCCCCTCAAAGAGGGTATTAAAGAGTGGGAATTCTCCACTATATATTGAGAGGAGGAGTTGGTATTATCACTGAGGCTGAGAACTTTTTTCTTTTTAACGAAGATGGTTAGATTCTCTTTCCAGACAGTAAAAGCTGAACTTATCTATCTATCCATCCATATATGTATTTTAAAGATTTTAAGTAATCTCTCTACCCAACATGGGGCTCGAACTCACAACCCTGAGTTCAAGAGTTGCTTACTCTACTGACTGAGCTAGCTAGGCAACCCTGCATTAATCTATACTGTAGCTGAAATACTACATACATGTTTGTAATCAAACCAGGCAAACATCATGGAAATCCCAGGGTAATATGGGCACATGAGGGCATGGGAAGATAAAGAGAAGAACCCAGTTTTAGAAAACCTAAGAAGACATAAATTACTATAATACGGTTTCCCTCTTTTTATTTTAAAGAAATCATACATTTGGGGCACCTATTTTTTCAAACAGGTTCTATACAAACCTCATTCATTTTTTCTTCAAATTCAGCCAATGCCTTGGAGCCTTTCTTTTTCTTTTCTAGTTGTTCTTTCACTTCTTCCCTTAAAAAAAATAGAATATACAAGTAAGTTTCCAAGCAATTCAAATTAGAGATGGATGCTTACAAACAAAACAACAAAACTTCATAAATAAAATTTTCTTAATGTCCTAATAAACCTCCATTTCAGTGTTAAAACATTTAAAAATTTTTTGTTCACATCCCTATAAATCAATTATCATGAATACAGTCTGATCATTCCTTTTCTAAGCATGGATTATAAGAGCTAATACACCAAACATCTGAGCACTTACACACAAGTGGCACTGTTTTTAATACATTTTTCTTTAATCCTCATAACAATCCTGTGAGAAAACACAGTATTATTACCCCTATTTTACAGATAAAGAAGGGAAGCTCGCGGAAGGTAAGAAATCTGCCTAGGTTCCCAAAGCTAGTAGTTTCAGTGTTAGGGTCTATGTAAACTACTATTTTTATTACTAAACATCTATTTTATAATGCACCGCACATATTGCACAGAAAAGTGTTGCTACTGCATGCCTGACTGCTTATACTTAGAAAGGCCTGCTTACAAGTTTGGGCCTGCTGGCATCTGGGAACTTGGATTTTGGACAGGTCCTTACCATTCCCTCCTAAGAATGGCTCACTATACAAATACTACTGTTGAGGCTGAACACCTGAATTACTTCTAGGAGTCTAGAATTTTGGCACGTGATAGGCAGAGGCTGACCAGTCCCCAGTAAAAACCCTGGGCACATGGAGTCTTTCATTAACTCCCCTGGTTGGCAACATCTCATATGTGTTACAACTCATTGCTGAGGGGATTAAATGTATCCTATGTGATTCCACAAGAGAAGAAGAAGTCGTACAAGTCTGAGCCTAGTCTCCCCCACACTTTACCCCATGCACCTTTTCCCTTTGCTGATTGTGGCTGGTACCCTTTGTAATAAATCTTATCCAAAGTGCATCTATCTGGGAGTCCTTCTAGCAAGTTACCTAATCTGAGGGCTTTCTTGGGGGACTCTGACACACAAATAATATACTTGCTTGAACACTTCCTCTTTAATGGTCATTTCTTCTCCCCAGTTTTAAAGGTAAAATATATTTTGTTTCGGGATAATTTTCTGGTATGCTGCAACAGTCAACAACAGCTCCACTCATGAATACTCTGAGAGGCAGACATGGCTTACTTTCTATTTAACTCAAAGGAAAGATCCCCTGTTATATGTAAGCATAGATTTCAGCTATCATTGCCCAACCTTTAGGGGCACTTAGAAGGATTATGAAGCTAACAACTGTGACATTTAATAAGACATACTAAAAAATAACAAGGCCAGTGCCGTGATGCTTTATTTATAAATGATCAGAGCTACTCAATGAGGGCAAATAAAAACCCCAAAAACAATTTAAAACAAAATTTTACAGTGGGAAATTCTAACTTACCGAAAAGCCACCAGATATGAATAGAAACATGGCCTAACATTATCCTTCCTAACACCTAGTTACACCTCAATGAAGGGCAAGATTAGTCAACCCTACCATTTTAAATAGCTTAAAACACTGCGAGGTTAAGGTCCCTTTAGGGCATAGAGAAGAGATCAGTATGAAAGGTTGTCTGGTAGCTGTACAGGATTCTCAAATGTTTGCTTTACACTGATGCATGTGTTTCATACATTGAAAAGCACCTGTGAACATCACTTCAAAAAATTATGCTTTGCAAGCAATAAGAGCTGTAACAGTAACCTTTAAAAAATTTACAAAACCTTATGAATGTCTAAATTGTTTCACAAATACCAGGTAGGCCTTGGTCGATTCAGATAATCTTGGATCGTTGGCCCCGAAGACTGGATTGGACCCCTTGATCTGGCCATTGCTATTGGGTTCATATAGGCCTCGAGGAAAGAACAAAAATTAACTCAATTAAAAAAAACATCAAAAATGCAAATGCTCACTTACTCACCAAGCATGCTTTATTATAAATGCATACTATGTCTAACTAAGCATGAACAATCTGACTAACCAAATTTTCATTACAAAAACTAAATTTAATGGTCTACCAAGTCTCACAAGTTTGGGAGATGAGTAATATCGCTACTTCACAGAAAAAAATTTTTTTCACCAGAGATTTAATGAAAATAATAATGATACCTCTTTCTTACTGTAAGATGACTTTATAATGTTTTCTCCTAAAGCCCAATAACCCTGTAAGGCTAATAACACTATGCTCACTGGCAAATGAAGAAACTCAGTTGCAAAGAAGCTAAAGATCTAACTTTAAATCCACTGCTTATTCTACATCTTTTTTTTTTTTTTAAGATTTTATTTATTTGACAGAGAAAGACACAGTGAGGGAGGGAACACAAGCAGGGGGAGTGGGAGAGGGAGAAGCAGGCTTCCCGTCGAGCAGGGAGCCTGATGCGGGGCTTGATCCCAGGACCCTAGGATCACACGACCTGAGCCGTAGGCAGACGCTTAACGACTGAGCCACCCACGCATCCCTCTACTACATCTTTTATCTCAGGAAATACTATGCCATACTGATGGCAATTTTACTCGTCAATTGTTAACACCAAAAATTAAATTAGGCACAAACAAAAGAAAAAAACAGATAAATGGGACTTTATCAAAATTAAAACATTTGTGTATTAAAGAACATACCAAGAGAGTGAAAAGACAATCCACAGAATGAGAGAAAATATTTGCAACTCATACATTTGATATGGAATTAATATCCGGAATGCATAAAGAAATCCTACAACTCAACAGCAAAAAACCCAAAGACCCAATTAAATGTGCAAAGCACTTGAAAAAAACATTTCTGCAAAGATATTCAAATGTCCAAGAGCAGATGAAGAGATGTTCAACTCGCTAGTCCTTGGGGAGATGCAAATCAAACTACAATGAGATGCCACCTTGCACCCTTTAGGATGACTATTATCAAAAGCAGAAAATAACAAGTGCTGTCAAAACCAGGGAGAAATTGGAACCTTTGGATATTGCTGGTGAGAATATAAAAGAGTGCAGCTGTTGTGGAAAAGTTTGATTTCCTCAAAAAGTTCAATACAGAATGACCTGACGATCCAGCAATTCCATCTCTAATTGGAATTGAAAAATAACTGAAAGCTGGGACTCAAACAGATACTTGTACACTCATGTTCAGAGCAGCGTTATACACAATAGCCAAAAGGTGGAAACAATCCAAATATCCATCTACTGATGAATGGATAAACAAAATGTGGCATATACACACAATGGAGTATTATTCAGCCTTAGAAAGAAATGAAATTTGTGTGCCTGGGTGGCTCAGTTGGTTAAGTGTGCAACTCTTGATTTCAGCTCAGGTCCCGATCTGAGGGTCACGAGATTGAGCCCCGAGTCTGCCTTCGTGCCGGCCGGGGAGCCTGCTTAAGATTCTCTCTCCCTCTTCCCCTGCACCCCCTTAAAAGAAAAAAAGAAAAAAGAAATGAAATTCTTAATATGCTACAACATGAATGAACCTTGTTAACATGCTAAGTGAAACCATCTAGACACAAAAGGGCAAATATTGTATGATTCAACTTATATGAGGTACCTAAAATAAGCAAATTCACCGAGACAGAAAGTAAAAAGAGGTTTCCAGGGGCTGGCGGGGCAGGCGGGGGGAGGGAGGGAATAGGTGATTGGGAGTTACTGTTTAATGGGTACAGAGCTTCTTGTTTGGGATGACAAAAAGTTCTGGAAATGGAGAGTGGCAACAGTTGCATAACAGTGTGAATGTACTTAATGCCACTGACTTAAACACTTAAAAATGGCTACGACAGTGAACCTTGTTATGTTTATTTTTGCACAATAAAGAACCCCCCAAATCCAATTATGCTCTGTATATTGTACTTACTATAGCAGAAAACCACATTTTTAGATGTTTTCAAAAATATCCAGACAAAATAAAGCAGGCTTCTTTGTTAATGACAGTATCTAGCAAAGAGATGCTGTTTTATTAAAATTAACTGCTACATAGGGGTGCATGGGTAGCTCAATCAGTTAAGCATCCGACTGCTGGTTTTGGTTCAGGTCATGATCTCAGGGTTGTGAGACTGAGCCCCAAGTTGGGCTCAGTGCTGGGCATGAAGCCTGCTTAAGATTCTCTTTCTCCCTCTCTCTGCCCCTCCCCCTGCTTGCCTGCCCGCACATGCGCACACTCTCTCTCAAATAAGTACATAAATCTTTAAAAATAAATAAAATTAACTGTGCTACATACATAAAATTTGGTCTTGAATTTAGTCTCAATCCCTTGATCCTCATATTTGGTTTTCCAAATTTAATCCAAGTCAACAAGCATTTACAAAAACTCTTCTACCTTTTTTTTTTTTTTTTTAAGATTTCATTTATTTATTTGAGAGAGAGTGTGAGAGCGCAAGCTGGGGAGGAGCAGAGGGAGAGGGACAAGCAAACTCTGCGCTGAGCCCGAAGCCCCACACTGGGCTCAACCCCACAACTCTGAGCTGAAATCAAGAGTTGGATGCTTAACTGACTGAGCCACCCAGGCACCCCAAAACTCTTCCACTTTTTAAATAAAAAGAATTGTGGTCAAATATGACTACTATCAAGGTTGAATTCAAGGCCTTAAACCTACAACTTAATGTTCCCAAGGAAGTGAAAGGATATTAATGTATTTGTTGCATTGTATTTAGCAAAACTTGTGAAAATGACCAACATTTCCCAAATAACAAATATGGGTTATATATTTCCAGATTTCTCGGGCAGAGCAAACAATATAAAACCATTATAAACAACACATACTGAGAACTACTTCCATTCAACTGGATACTGCTTAATTACTTCGGATGAAAAAATCCATTAACAACAATTTGCTTACAGGCAGGAATTAATGCTAGAGCTCTTAATGTCAGGGATGTTTACAAAATCAGGGTTAGATGTGAGTATCAAATTCAACTCTCTTTAGAGAGAGGCATATAGTCACATTTTTTACATCAACTGTTATGTTCTCAGACATTTCATTCAACTGCCTCTGCTGAGAATTCACTCAGTTCATGTGGAGAAATATGACAACCAATGGAGGCTGCAATAGAGGAGATGTTGGTCCTACTAATGACACTGACAATCCTAATAACCAGAAGCAGGTAAAATGTGCAAAGCCAAACTCATTATTGTTAAAACAGGAGATTATCTATCTAACATCTCATTGAGATAGATCTAGACAGATAGATATCTATCTACATCTCATTTCTTTGGTACCATGTCATAATTTTAGTAGCAGTTAAGGATAAAATATCTTAAGTTTAAAATTGTAAAAACTGTTTATTTCCAAAGAATGCAAATATATACAAGGATGTTCACAACTAAATTACTAAAATAGGGAAAACTGAAAATACACAAAGAGCCATCAAATTGAGATGCATTATAAAGTATACCCTCAAAATGAAATACTATGCAGCCACTAAAAAGAGATCTATAGTTACTGATATGGAAAGATGCCCAAGATTTCTCAAATGAAAAGCAAAAGCAAGTTGCCAAAAAATAAGATACCATTTTAATAAACAGTTATAATTTTTTTAAAAATCCAGATGCACCAACATGTACAGGGAGAGGTCCACTTTCATCATTTCATACACTGGAGAGATTAAAAACAACAACAACCCATTACCTTTATAAAAGAAAAACAAAAATTAAAACAAAGAAACTACACACAAACATTATCGTAATATTAAAGGTAAAAAAAATGAGAAAAATTCATCCACAATGCTGCTACTCCAATTCAGAAGCTGAACTGTCTTCAAGTAAAAATTCACAAAGAGTACAGTAGTAACTTTTCACTCTCATTAAAAAAAAATTGTGGGGCGCCTGGCTGGCTTCGTCAATAGAGCATGCTACTTTTTTTTTTTTTTTAAAGATTTTATTTATTTATTTGAGAGAGAGAGAATGAGAAAGAGAGCACATGAGAGGGGGGAGGGTCCGAGGGAGAAGCAGACCCCCCGCCGAGCAGGGAGCCTGATGCGAGACTCGATCCCGGGACTCCAGGATCATGACCTGAGCCGAAGGCAGTCGCTTAACCAACTGAGCCACCCAGGCGCCCCAAGCATGCTACTCTTGATCGGACTCTTGATCTTGAGGTCATGAGTTTAAGCCTCAGGCTGGGTGTAGAGACTACTTTAAAAAAAAAATCAAAACACGTTTACCATGTTTTACAGTCTTCAAATATTCTAGCATGTATCTTAAAACTACATTAATTAACATTTTTATGTGCCTTAATATCTATTGTGAAAGTGCTTCCCCAAAGTACATACCAGTCTGTCTTAGGGTTTACTTTTCAGAGGAAAATTAAATAGTAAAGTAGTATATTCACATGCTAAGGCTATTAATTATAGACAACTTATGGTTCAATCACATGAGCTACCATTGTCTATGCAATAAGGTTTAACTTTCAAGTTTTTGGCCATAAACACTATCCTTAGTCTGCTTAAATATATTCCAAATATTTCAATTATTTATTTCAATTGTAAAAGCAATATTTATTAAGAGGCTCCTTTGCAAAACAGTTGATGGTCTATGCTCATAATCATTAAGCAACAATGCTTCCTTTTACTGTGCACAATAGAAAGGTTTTTAAAACAGAAGAGTTAATTTTCTTACAAAGATAAAGCCTTTTCACTTACTATGTATCAGTATGAAAAACAATGTTCTTAACCTTAAGGGGGTGAGTGGTCAGACGTCAGTTAAAATACAGAAATTGTGCAATTTCTTGAACTGTCTCACTATGACTTAATCACTTTAAATACTGTGATCTTATAAATCAAACACTTGTATTCATACCTAATTAGAAATGTCTCCAAACCGCTACACGAGTTTGGGTAACAGAAAACAATCTCTTTTTGAAACTCAGGATATCGGGGCACCCAGCTGCCTCAGTGGTGAAGCACGCAACTCTTGATCTCGGGGTGGCCAGGTCGAGCCCCATACTGGGTGTAGAGAGTACTTAAAAATAAAATCCTAAAAAAGAAACTCAGGATGGCAAATTGGGCTCAAGGGAATAGGTAAGTGGGCAGGTAGTGAAAAGAGAGATGCAAGAACAAAATGTGCAGACCTTCATTTGTTACTTTGATTACCTATTTTTATCTAGAGGATGCATCTGTTTTATTTTTTTTATTTTTTATTTTTTTTAAAGATTTTATCTATTTATTTGAGAGAGAGAGAATGAGAGACAGAGAGCATGAGAGGGAGGAGGGTCAGAGGGAGAAGCAGACTCCCTGCCGAGCAGGGAGCCCGATGCGGGACTCCATCCCGGGACTCCAGGATCATGACCTGAGCCGAAGGCAGTCGCTTGACCAACCAAGCCACCCAGGCGCCCCAGGATGCATCTGTTTTAGAGGGCACAAAGTAACAAAAAGAACATGAAGGAAACTTCTGGAAAACAATGGGGACAAACGGTGGCCATCACGAATTTAAGAACCCTTTACAAATCTTGAGAACTAAAATGTTCAGTTAAAAAAAAGAAAATGTTCAAGAATGTACAAATACCTAGAGTGAACCCTGATGTAAAGTATGGACTTCAGGTGAAAATGATGTGTCAAGATAGGTTCATTCATTTTAACAATGCAAAAACAAAACAAAACAAACAAACAAAAAACTGTAACAAATGTACCACTCTGGAGCAGCTTTGAACGTAGGGGAGGCTATGCATGACTGTGGTCACGGAATATATGGGAGCTCTCTGTACTCACTGCTCAATTTTCCTATGACTCCAAAACTGCTCTAAAAAGTAAAGTCTACCTTTTTAAAAAAGTAATCTCTACACCCAAGGTGGGGCTTGAACTTAAAACCCTGAGCTCAAGAGTAGCTTGTTCTGCCGACTGAGCCAGTTAGGCACCCCAAAGCAAAGTCTTTTTTGAAAACAAAACAAAACAAAACAAAACAAAACAAAACAAAACAAAACCTTCAACCTAGATTTTATGACTTTTTTAAGAAAGCAATTCTAGCATATGATTTTACCATCAATGTAAGAAGAAAAAAAAATGCCATTATTTTCACAGGCAAACAATCCTTTTATTTAAAACCAAGAGTTACGATGTACTGAACTAAGTATCAGACAACCCAAGTTTTGGTCCGAGTTTAAACAGCTCCATCTCCTCCTCCATGCAACGAGGAGACTAAATTAGACAATCTGTCTTCTACTTCTTGATTTCATGTTTTCATTCCCACAACCTTTCAAGTGCAAATAAAAGTTACCAGAACACTCTGTGCC